TCGGATACAACATCAGCTCATTTATGTTCTGCAGGTGCGATATTACATTGCCGTCTTTCAACTTATACCTTTTCCTGGCGCTATTCAACAAGAAACTGAGCGAATTCGTTGAAGAAATGAAAATGGTGAGATTTATTCGCCATTGAAAATTCCTCACTTGATATTCATCGATCCCAGAGAAACCTTGTTGCATGGCAGTGAGGTTCGCCACTGCTTCATTGCTGATTCGATGAACCTTATTAGGCAGTCGTCGAAAGTGTGAAGCTCCAAGCATCCCAGGATCCAGTTGTACTGAGTGGATCAGTTGCCTTTCAAGCCGTGTGCCATGATAGTCTTTCTCACTCTGCAACACCGACTTTGTGCATGCTCACGAGTAGCCAATTGTGACATCCTCTTAATTTCGTCCGGCATCAGTTTTGTTCAGGAAATATGATTTTGTTCGCCTCGAAATGCTCGCAAACTGCACCAACAAATACATACACTAGGAGTTTCCAAGTTGTTGGAAGGCACGCGACTAGATAGTAATTACGTACATCGCCATAACCCATTATTGTCCTTCATGATTAGGTGACACCCCCTTTCGCTAATTACGACACAATTATGATTGAAACAGGCGAGCCCAGACCCGCGTTCTTGTTGTGGTAGAACCCAACCTGGCTTAGGGAATCACTGAATAGAAGCCTGTCATCGGAAGAGTGCCAATCGCCCGACTGAAGCTACAACATCTTAATGCTTCGACCTCCTTACAGGACCATGCGCCAAAGGATGGAGAATATGAATTCTTCCTTGAGGAAGTGAACCGCCAGAGTGTGCTCCGTACCAAGTGTCGATTATGGAGTCCCTAACTCTAACGGCCGACTACAATGTACATGAAACAGCAGACACTGAAAAGTGGAAAGACGTGATAGCAAAGAACAACTTTAGCGAACTTCATAAGAGCGGCGTACAGTTGCTTTGGTTGTGTGCAAACAACGGATTGTCCATTATGAACACCTTCTTCGAGCATCGAAGCGTGCATCAGCGTAATTGATTTAGGGCAGCTTCTAAACAGGGAAGCCGGTGATCAATTTAACAGTTGCATCGTTTAACTTATCACACTCTGTAATGGATGTTCGCGTTATAAGAGGAACCGAGCTGTTAATCCTTCATCATCTTATTGTTGGCATGAGAGACTGAGAGAAATGGAGTACCATGCGACGATCTGGTCGCAGAAGCAACCAGG